CTGCCTCAGATGTGTCTTTAACTTCGTTGAGGCCACCATCATCGCACCATAAGCATGGGGAGTCGACAGCCACCAACCACTCGATGGCCACAGGCGTCCACCGCTCCGTTGAGAGGAGAGACTCGAGGTAATCATCCAGATTCTGGGACTTGTCAAGTTGTCCGAAACTTCAACTCGTCAACGAGTTCTGTTGTTCTGCGATCTGTCGGTGGTCCGGCCGGCATTAGAGCGGAGACCCAGCTGCTTCAGACTCCAAATTCCACACCGCGGATGGTGGCGGATGGGTACGCGGATGCGGCAGATGAATGCGTGAACATGGCGGACCATCCGCCCCGTCACAAACGTAACAAATTACGGCGCTTTCACGTCAGATATCAACCAATCAGGAGGCGAATAAACCTGGTCCCAATGCGTTCTTTTTATCCTGGACTTGTTTGCCTCATAATTGACAGGTTTTTTCGGTGGAGACTCATTCTATATATGCCCCGCAGCCATTTGAATTTATGTTGGATTTTTATTCAGCACATAAACTCCGATGCACGAAACGGCCCAAATGGTCAACAAGATTCCACTTGAACTTTAGTCTTTACAACCACCACTTCCATGCGAAACCAGTGCCGGTCATTCCTGTTGTTGCAAAACCTACCGCAGGCCCCGTAAAGGCTTCGAGATACTCTCGGAATGCAATATACATCATCCAAGCGCACCTGTTACGCTGTGAAGTGAATTAAATGCTGGAACATTTTCAGCAGTAAGTAGTGTATGCACGGTTACCTGAGCTGACACTGACCAAGACCTGTCCGTAGGTTGTGAATTACTTCGGACACTCCTGCCAGGGAGTCCTGGTGGCTCGATTTGGAACAGAAGTTGATCTTTCTTGCGAGAGTTGCGGCAAGTTGAAATTGCATATCCAGCACCGGTCTCTCACAATAAGGAAAGATACACTGATTCAAGCCACTGACCAGGCACGGAAGCAGATCCACCACATCAGCCATACTATCGTATTTTTGTCAATAGTTCGCCGGTTTGATAACGGCAGATGCATCCGCCACTACGCAGTGATTATGCACCCTGTATCTGGTCCTCTGAGCATCTGGTCTGTGTGGGATCTCACTTAAGGAAGAAGTACTTACACCATCAATACATGCCACAATTCAGTTCCCGTGCTTTCCAACGTGCGGCGGATGCATCCGCCATTATATACCCCGGAGGACTTGAATGTAGAGAAGAGCAACATTTGCAAATTGATTGGCACATGAATCACAGTTACCGAACACGGTGCAATGGCAGCAGCCATAACATAGATCGAGCGAATGCCACGGCAGAGCGTTCGTTGTTGGTAAAATTCAATGCATCCGCATCACATGAAGCAAAGGGCTTGGTCAAAGTAAGTAGCTCCAGCTTCTTTGTTACAAGGTACGACGGGTCAGATCACAATCATACGGCGGATGAAGCGGACGCGCCATGTCAATGTTTCTGTAGCGCGGTATTGCATTTGGATGGCTCCATTGCACCTTGAACGACAACTTACGGCTGCCTCCACAACGCAGGAAGCCTGCGTAACATATAATGGTGCCCGCGATAATTCACAAAAGTGGCGGGTGCATCCACCACTATTTTGTGGATGCACAAATGATGCTGAATTTGAGCCACTGAGGAAATTCTTTGAGAAGACAATGCACTCTACCTATACGCAGTGAATTTGGGACTCAGATAATGTGGTGGCCACTGTTCAGAAGCATCAAACATGAATCTCACTGGCGGTGCCCGGGCTTGATTATCTCCCGCAAAATGGAGCAGCAGCATCCAGCCTGCATGAATACGACTGGCCGCCGAGGATGGCGACAAGAAGCAAGAGGACCCAAATGGTAAACCCGCCACCCCCCCGCCGCATCATTGAACCGTGAGTAGATATCAGAGTTGCGATCAATATCCGAACACGGCGCGCCGGCATGTATTTCTGGAACCGAGCAACTTGACTAATGAAGAAGCATCCGCGCGGCGGATGGGGCCTCTTAGGCCCCCTTTACTCATACAGCGAAGGGGGCCTAAGAGGTCCTTTACGGCATGTTGGCGGTTACTCCTGAGGTGCATTACCCGCGCCAGCGACGACGGTATGATAACTACGCGGACGCCGTACATGGTGGCCGGCTGGCAACAACAAGGGATGGCAGGGATTGGAAAGTGGTGGAAACTCTGAGATAATTTGGTGTGGGGCAGGTGTCTACCGGATGAGATTGGCAGTCTTGAGCTTTCCTGGGCTCAATCTCTCTGATGGTGGCGGTTAAGTTCCAAATGACAAAAGGTTCCGCGGAGCCAAATGGAGGTGCATCAGATCGGACCCACTTGTGGACAATGGTTGCTTGCTGGTTGACGAACACACAACCGGTTGCCCGGCTGGTATACAGGCTACAGCCCTATGACAGAGCCTTAGCAACTTGGACTCAACCACCAGGTGAGGACTCATGCCTTTGCTTCTGGACTTGTCACCAGAGCTCGTTACCCATATCCTGGACCAGCTCGCGTCAGATTCGCCCTCCCTGGATGCTCTATGTCTGGTCGGAAACCACACCCTCCTCGCGTTGACGCGCCCGTACACATGGATCGAGGTCAACATGACCTTGGGAGCGGAACCCCGAGCCAGCTCCCGTACGGCCAAGCGACTCGCAGCGTTCCTCGCTGACCCAGTCAAGGCCGGCACCGTCCGCGCCTTGAACATCACCCTCATAGGCCCTTACATTTCCGGGATGTATGCGGCTCGGGTCTTGGTCGACAATCTTGCGGCGCTCGTCAATGTGACACACTGCTCGCTCTGCTGTATCCGCAGTCGTAATATCTTCGGGTGGGACACTCCGGGCCGTCTTGTTAGGAACATCGTCGAGTCTTTGCCTTCGTTGCTCAGCATTGAAGTGGTTGGATGCAATGCCAATCTAGAAACGGAATTGGAGGATATGGAAGACTATCGGGCCGAGTCTGACCCTCCTCTCCCAGCCCCGAAACTGATCCATGTCGCTACACGGTTCTGCGACCCACTCCTTGGCACAATTTGGCGGCAATGTCCCAATGTGCGAGTTGTGGAGATGGAAGGAGGGGACCCGGAAGAATTCTGGCGCAGCCAAGTGGGCGCGATTGTCGTTGAACCGACCACCAAGAACTCGTCAGCAGAGGAGGTTCAAATCATACGATCATTGCAGAAATTCTGGGGTAAGCAAATGCTTTTCCTTTTGTCGTTATGCCTTCATTTATTTCTGTGTCGAGCAGGATATACAGGGACCGAAACAGGAATTTATCCTATCGTCAGCCACGATATCGTTGACGCTGTCGAAAAGATTAATGTCAAGGTTCACCCCACTGTCCACTCAAGCGACGATTTGTGCAGCGATATTTACTGTGTGGCGGAGTTCTTTCGGATGGTGCGTTCGTTTTTACGGGTCCATCGATCTGAATTGACGCATTTTCAGAACGCGGGAAATTGCTGTAGTGGCCTCAAAGAATTTGTCCTACACATGGGCTTCGATGTCGAAAGATATCGCGAAATTCTGAATGGTATCCGTACCCCATCGATCCAGCGACTAGCCGTGGTCCTGACATTCGGCGACCACTGGGTTGCGTCGGAGTTTGATGACTTTCTTCTCGATATGAAAAACGAGCAACAAGGCTACGCAGAGGTCCCTTTTTTCGCCAAATGCTCGTCACTTCGCGAGTTTTTCCTGCCTTGCGGCAGTCTCTCCGATGACTCGACGGTGAAGTCCTCGGTCCCCAGACACTTCAACGATACTGATAAATCTACAGGCCCTGCTCGCCGAACTTCTTTCCCATGCGCCGGCGCTACAGCATCTGTTCTTCGACATGGCAGATGAGTCGGATGATCTCCCAGCCGTAGCCCTCAAGTACGCCGAGGTTATTTTGACTCTCGAATCTGTCTCTTGGAAAAACCAAGCCACTTTTGAGGTGGATCGTCGGGATGGGCCGAATGTCACGCGGAACACGTACAGTCCGCCAGTGTGGCTCGAGTGGAGAGGTATTGGAAAGTGGTGGGAAATTTAATAGGTCTGCGAGGCCGTTCATGCATGGGATGGAAAGAATTCCTAATCAGAGCCGCAGAAGTACCGGACGTAAACTTGAACTACGATCGAATATAGTTGACCCTGTTCGCCTCTTACGACGGAGAAAAGACGGACGAACGTCGAGAGGGTTCGGGATCGTCCAAAGGTTTTCGAACACGCCCCGACAAGGATGGACATGAGGAATACAGTGGGCGCACCGATCATGAATCTTTCTGCTTCACTTTCCTCAGTCGCGCAGACTCGGAGGTTCTCCTCGGGTCTCTGTATCCTCTTGGGACCGAACGTGGCTCCAACTTTCGAACCAGAAACCAGTTACGCCAGGAAATACACACACTTGCTCCGTTGGTTACCCGATCATTCTCAAAGTCTCAGCCGGCCACTTCTGCAGCGGGGTAAAGGTGGTTACGTCGCTTGCATCTTCTCAATTCTGGCGTATTCACAATTATCTTACCCATTAAGTCACCGTTTTCTCCCTTGAACTCATTCAGGGTTAACTCTGGGCGTCGGACTATTATTATCAGTAAAGCGGGCCCTCCATCACGATAGCCAGGCGGTAATTTGGCATTCCTACACCACTCACTTTCAAATAATTCATCTTCAGCATTTTTATATCCATGTTCGTCCAGTCATAGATTTCCTTCCCTTTTCGCAAATGGAAGGAAAAGACCCTATCTCGCATCTAAAAATTCTGGAACCCTAAGAACACAAAAAATGTATCATGCAGAAGAGTCGCATTGCCTGGGGAAAAAAAAGAGGTATATAATGGAGCACAAAAAGGTAGACACACTGGGGTTTGAACCCACGCCAAATGGATCTTCTTTCAATCCTGTATAATGATCCGCTTGCATTGCAGAATCGTTTCGATCCGAAAACAACTACGATCGAATGCGAACAAGAACAGTTGCAATTGCAGTCGGCACCAGGCAAAAAGGCTGGACGCACAGGGGTTTGAACCCTGGACCGCATACATGGAGTTAAATACTGCAAAGCATGAGTGATACCACTACACCATACGCCCATGAGAGACGGTCGCGCCCGTGAGGTGACGATGAGGATATCATGTGAAGATGCCGGGGAATTCGTCGGAGCATTGAGCGGCATTTATGACGGCGGTTTCACAACAACCCAGCCTTGCAAAACGCCGTTAATTCTCTCAATTTCTCGGTGAACGGTGTTCTGGCGGCCATTTTCTTTTGTACAAGACCGGGTCGCGGATGTTAGCCGGCACATTTGATGGGATATATGATCGATCCGAAAATGGTCTCATTCTCAGACGACGATGACCGTGGATGCGTCGAGTGCTTCCGGCCAATGGCCACCAAGAGTCCTGGACCCACACACTTGACCAGCCGTGATGTCTATCGTCCAATTGACTTAGGCAGTCGCAGGTTCCTTCCGTTCCTTTGCGCTCTTCTACTCGCAGGCAACTCTTCTCGACGCCACCAACCCACATGAAATCCTCGGAGACCGATCGGGGACGACAACCGTCACTGACTCACAAAACGTTCAGGTCCCGCTGTTTCGGGCTTCAAACTAAAGCTTCAATACAATACACCGCGCACACGGGTGACGGGACGGCGGCGGGATGTAGTAACTAACTTCGGCCATTGGGACTTGCGACTTGAAGGCGGAGCGAACCAGCTTTCCTCTGAGGCTCGAGTGGAGCTTGGATGGCGACGAACAAAAGGTCCCGGAAGTCGGGGAGCGGTCAAATTAAAATACTCCGTTTGCCAAGGTGGTCTCCAACGTGCGTGCGTGGTGCGGGCATCGGGCCGAGATCCCAACTGATGATGATTATCGGCTTGCCACAGTTTAAATTTGATGCCTTGTACATCTCTGTGCATCTCTTCCTCACCATGAGCGACAACGACCACAGGAGCACGAACGAAAAGGTTCACGACAACGAAAAGGTCCAAGATAATACCGCCGTCGACGACACTAAACCCGATGACCGCAGCGACCAACTCTTGCTGGACCGCGCTCACCTCGAGGGCATAAAGCCTATCTTCCTCGCCAAGTGCGTCCATTGCCGACGTTAGCGAAGACCGATAACCTGACTTTTGTTCTAGGGTCAAAGTACTCAACACGGCGATCGCAGAGTGCGGGATGGGTCGGTACGTGCTCAGCGCTCTCTTCTATCCAATTTTTTTTTTCTAAGGCACGGAATCAGATACCAGGTGCGTTTGTTGGTCCACGCTGTTGTGGAGCACGGGGCAGCATGGCGCCCAGAGCTGTTCGTCGTCACCGAACATCTGACCCCATTCGGCGTATCCCCGCCGCGCTCTACCGCCATCACGATCTTGTGACTAATCAGTAACACAGTGGGAGCTGTTCCTCAGCGCTGGTGAGCTTTGTTCTTTCTCTGGTTTACTTCATTATTTAATTCATGTTCGTTAGGATTTGGGTTCGTAGATTCCCTTGCCTTTCGTCGCAGATCGTGATACGTTGTGCACAGTTGGTTTGCAGATAGTGAGTGATCTCCGTCCTTGTTTCGATCGACGACTTGTATTGACACACATCAAGATCTATGGCTTCAAGCCATCGCCATTCTGATGCCTGCCATCGCCAACCAGGTCCGTTCATACGCCGAGTTACAGAGATAAAAAATTCAACCACCCTCAGCACAACTTTCCCGACTACTCTAGCAACGTCCGCATGGCAACCTTTGGGCTGTACTGTGGCTTGATCGCTGGTGTGAGTGGTCTGCCTCGCTTGCAGTCATCTGTACTCACGCGGTCCGATGCAGGCCACCTTCTGGGGCATGACGTGCGACGTCATCGGGAGACGAACGGCATGGAATGCGACGCTGTTCCTTTCTGGAATCTTTGGTATTGCGTGCGTACGATTCGTCCTCTGTTTCTTCGCGTTCATATCTCCCCAGTGCCGGCGCGTCCCCAAATTTTGTCACGCTATGTGGTGCGTCTGTTCAACTTTCAACCGTGACGTGACTCACCGCCATCGATCTTCAAGCTATGCTCGCCTGCATCGGTTTCGGTGTCGGAGGTACGCCCTTGAGCCGCATTTTGTTTCCACAGTCTGATTCGCGGACATAGGTAACCTCCCCGTCGATGGCGCGTTGTTCCTCGAGTTCCTTCCCGGGAAGGACCAGTACCTCCTCACCCTGCTCTCCCTCTGGTGGGCCATCGGCCAGGTCGTCGCCTCGCTCATCTCCTGGGTCTTCTTGGCCAAGTGTGTTCAACGGATTTTTCCCGCTTTGAATTACTCACATAAGCTTCGCAACTCAGGTACTCGTGCGACACGACTCTGGTGGGTAAGCAGGTGCAGCCAGACGGGAGCCTGTATCAGTGCGACAACTCGAATAACAACGGGTGGCGGTGTGCGTTCCCTTCTTCAATTTTTCAGACGTCCGCTCATAAGAAGATGGTTGCTTCAGACTCGTATTACACCATGGGCTCGATGATGGTCTTCCTCGCCATCCTGCGGATCTTTATCTTCCCCATGGACGAGTCGCCCAAGTTCCTTGTCAGTGCGTACCCCCTTTCTCTCTTTCAACATCGTTATTTTATTCATACCATCTCTACAGGCATCGGTCGGGACAAGGAAGCCGTGGAGGTCATCCACCGCATCGCCAAGAAGAACAAAACGACCGTTAATTTGACAGTCGAGGACCTGCGTGAAGCTGCCGCGCCGTATGTCGACCCTAACGCTCCCGAGGACATCGCGTCTACCGTGCACTTCTCCACCTGGGGGCTTATTCGGAATAGCTTGTGAGTTCCTGGGCGCCGAATCGGCGTTGTATCTGAAGTTCACCCTCTCCGTGCCTTCCAGGGATGACATCAACGGCGAGAACATCAAGGGGCTGTTCTGCACCCCGCGTCTGGCGTATTCGTCCAGCCTTATCATCTTTATTTGTGCGTCCCCCCCTTGCTTATTCTTACCAATTGCTGACGCTATTCAGACGCCGCTCTCGGACTCGCGTACCCGCTCTTCAACGCGTTCTTGGGAAGTTATCTGTCAAGCCGTGAAAACGACACCGGCGCCCTGGGCGTCGACGCAACGTATTGTGAGTTCAACACCGATGATTTTCCAACCAGAGAGCTGATTCGCAATTGCGCAGCGGCGTACACCTACCAAGCTGTGTGCGGTGTCGGTGGATCGATCCTCGCCGCTATCATGGTGCAGTGGTCTCGCGCAGGCCGGAAGTTCTCTATGGCGTCAGTTCCTCCTCCTTCTCGATTGAGGTCCTGATCGATGCTGGATACTAACGAACGAACAGTTTCTTCACAATCATGTCCGGCATCTTCCTCTTCGCCCTCACGCAGGCCAAGACCTCCGTGCAAGTCAACGCCCTCGTCTCCATCGCCTCCTTCTGGGAGAACGCGTTCTACGGTGTGCTCTACGGCTACGCGCCCGAGGTATTCCCCACCCCGCGCCGCGGGACGGGCGATGCGTTCGCGGCAGCGGCGAACCGCATCACTGGGCTCTTCGCGCCGATCATCGCGGTCTACAGCAATGCTGGAAAGACGCCTAATGGGTGCGTTTCCTCTTGTTTGCCCGTTTTCATCCCCGAGAATTGACTGGTTGATTTCTCCTAGGCCTGTGTTCGCGAGCGCGGGAATCTTCGTCTTCACCGGCCTCGTCATGCTCGGCCTGCCGATCGAGACTGTTGGTGTCACCGCGCTGTGATCTTAATCATCGTGAATCGTTCGGTTTGGTTACTCATCGTTGACCGCGTTAAAGACGCGAAGTTCAACTGATTGACCGTGTGTTCGCCAAAGACGCGAACAGTGAACGGCGGGATACCTAATGTTTGAAAGTAGAAGAAGAAAAGTTACCCTAGAGTATAACTAGTAGTTAGCTACGCAGAGTTTTGAATATCTATAACGGCCAATGACGTTCACGAACTTGTACCCCAATCAGATGTAGCAGTAGTAGCGATCGCATCTCAAACTTTTCCAAGGCTTGTGGTGTTGATGAGGACAGAGCGATGTAGGTATCTACAGCTTACAAGTTGATTTTACCTTGAACATGAGTGGATTTATGCTTACTTGATATCAACATGTACTAGTCCAGCACGGGCGGTCCGAGCTCATATTCCGACCATGATATCGTTGGCGCATTGTCAGCTTCCAAGTTGGGGAGGCCCCGGCCGTAAGCACTTTGTGTAGTTCATGAAGCTTTTCTTGATGTCTCATCTACGAAACATCGTTATAGAACGCACGTCCTCAGGCGTCTGTCTCATTACATACCTGCATCTCGCTACCGAGACACTGGATCTTCCTGGTGCAACGCCAGATGGCGAAGGATTGTCCAGTGCAAATTCCCCAGAGCTCTCCCCATTGCACAAAGAAAGTGCCATGGAACAAAGTCTGCAGACGCAGTTTTGCTGCGTTGTCTTCGAGACTTTCATCGTCATATTCAGCTGGAATGGTCAACTGAGAGTTGGACGGATGGCGTACACGAGTAGGCGAGCCGCAAGGTCCATGTCGGCTTTGGATGATTCGTTAAACAGATGGGTTTCGAATGTATCGAAGTAGAGTTGTTCCGTAGCGAGAAGCGACGCGTTGAGCGACTTCATGAGCTGAGTGGGGAAGGCGGCTCGTAAAAGAAAACCGGATGCAGCGATCGAAAATACGGTAACGGCAACCAGCAACCCGTGAGGGATGCCAGATGCGAGGTTGGAGAGGAGTGAAACAGTGTCGTCGAGCATAAGTGGGATTTGAGACTGCAGAATTGGTCGGTTTTTGTACACCTTTTATGCAGGCAAAGCGCTAATTCCCTTACCAGTTGCCTTTCTCATCGAGAGGAAATAATATGATTGCTTCCTATTGGGGTAAAGAAAAAGGGAACCTTCCTGCTTCCTCCATCATTTGGCTGTAAAGTCGACGTGCCGCAGTACAAATGCTGCGGGGGCAGGATCCTTCTCTCCATTGTCCTCCATTGTCCTCCATTGTCCTCCAGTCAACCGTGTAACAGACCTTCAGAAAGCAGTGTTCCGTGGCATCTCGTTGGAAATCAAACCACATTTGAACCTAGAAGCTGTAGGCAGTGATCGAT